CAGCCTTCTTGGAATAGAGACCATGATGACACAGCATCCACACGGTCAGGAGGAACGCCAGGGCCCTCCAGTGGGGGCCACACATCACACAGTGGGGACAACAGCAGTGAACAAGGTAGGAATCTTAGTGTTTTGGGGTTTCCAGCCCTCTAGCACAATAATTTCACTGTTTTTAGAAATAGTTTTTGTAATGAAATTTAAATCTGATATGGAAACCTGTAATAAGCTTTGCTTGAATTCATAGGGGTAAATGCCTGTCCTTGATAGTCTGTTCAACGTGACCTTCACCACCGAGATGGGTTTTTTATTGTGCAAATCTTTTTAAGGGAGGTGGCCACCAGCCTTGCTCTATCTCTATTAAAGAAATAAAGATGAAATCTGTAGCTCTGGGTGTCTTTTCATTGGTAATGCAAGAATCCTTGTATCTGGTTTCTAGATATCTCTGGAACACAGGTTTTCTTTTCAATTATATGGATAGTAAATTACAAGAGGGCCATCATACAACATGCAGATAATGTGCAAATATATTATACGCCCAACATAGTTTCCCTTTAAATTGTAAAACATAGTCTACCACTATGGTACAATAATTCAGACTTGCAAAATGGAATATTCTTTTCCCTTTCTATTTAGGCTCACCTTTCTACACCTACCGTTTGCTTTCTCCTTTGTCTCTCTACCTCAACCAATGTTTTACTTTGATTAGGGAGGAAAAATATCAAACAGTATTTTCCCTATGGTTGTTTCATGCAGATCCCAGTTTAGACTGGAAACGAATCCACCATTTTTGTTTCTGTATCTGACAGAAAGGATTAAATAGAGAGAAAAGAAGGAGAGTGGAATATTAAATGTTTTAAATCTAAATGTTTCATGCATGAAGAAAATTTAAAATTACATGTTATGTATAGCTGTTCTTGGCCCTTCCCATGTTCTACTTGTTTTACAAGAATGCCAATTACTTTGTTTCAGAGCCAAACTAATGGTTCATTGAAGGGGAAAGAGATGGATCTTTGTAATAAGTATTTGACGTTGTATGTCCTATGCAAAATTGGTTATTTTTTAAAAAAAAAAACACTGCTGAAACAAAAAAGTACATTTTTTTACTTATGCAAACTCCAACTGCAATTGATTGCATGATAATTACATGCAATTGATTGCATGATAATTACATGCAATGAGTTTAAAAGGAACTTTCTTCTGTTACTGAAGAAAGTTCTAAATCTACAATGCCCATACATTAAAAAAAATAATTTTATGTTCTTGTTTCATTCAAACATTGGACAACCAATGATTTAGCTGTTTAAAAATTTGGAAAGATTTGCTACAATAGCAAAGTTTTATGTTCAATAAAAATAGGTTTTAAATTGAGATAGTCTTCTATTTTTTGTCCAAATGCAAGTCTACATCTGTTCAGGCCATATATCTTTATATGGAATTTTAAGTATTTATTTTTTATTTATTTTTTAAAAAAATATGCTGACTTAATCACAAGTGAAACCTAGTAAAAACTGGGCCCCAGAATGGGCAAATTGTTGAAGAGTTGAAGCAGAAACGGGTAACCCCCTGACCTCTGACTTTGCTGGAAAATGATATGCAACATAAAGTTAAAGGGCCTATTTTTTTCTTTTAAGTATTTCTTCATATATGTGTTGCTGCAAAATTGGCACATTTTTCAAATTCATCCCAATTGTAACATTAAATTTCTTGTTGCATAATTTATCTTTATGAAGTGAACTCTTCTTTAAGAGTGCAGTACAAAATCTCTGTGCTTACTTTTGCTGCTAAAAATACTTAAATGATTTAATGTGTGAATAATACTGCTTTTAGTGAGGCCTTTCAAAGTATCAATATAAAAGAAAAATCCATGTGTAACCCTTTCTGCACATTTGATACCCACTTGCTTGAATTGGTTTTATGCAGATGCCCTAATGCATGCTGCAGCTCCAGCAACTTTTTTATTATCATTTTAGTTTTTCTTATTAGTGTTTCATTTCCTACTGTCATGTTCAACTGAATAGGGTTGCCATTAACGGTTGAAGTTTCTTGAATCTAACTTGATCAAGAAGATCAATATGGATCATTGGAGTACCCATAAAAAGAACCCCTAGATCTAAACTGAATTTATTTTCTTTTTAAAATCTTTTTAAAATGCTGATTGCATTTGTACAAATAAATCAGTTTAATTTGAAAAACTTCCTTCCTTGAGTAACTTTCCTGACTGAAGCTTCATTCCATTTATCACTAGTAACAGTCAATATAATAGGTGTGCATGCTCCAGTGTTTTTAATGGAGAAAAGATGAAGATAACTCTTGTGGTCCCAGTTAAGGCAAAGGATGCATTGGATTTTTATATTCACTCACTCACTCACTCTAAATGCCCCTTTATTATATTTGCATTCATATCCTGCCATTTGGCTTGGAGTGCAAGGAGAAATATAGAAAAATACCCCTGTAGCAACAATTCTGTGATGTAGGCTGGGCTGAAAGAAGATTATTGACAAAGGTTTTGCTGTACTCAGAATGATGTATAGTGATACTTCTAATTATATTGTACATTGGATAATACTGTGCACACCCACTTCTTTATTTTCTTGGCTATTTCTGGTATCTTAATAAGGTACTCCATGACTAGGTGCATGCTACAAAGAGCAAGATGTAATGAGTTACAGAATCAGAGTCAGAATCTCTGCAGAATCCTTGTTAAAGAAGTCTAGCTTTCCAAAGCAAGTCTGAATATTCTCTAGTATTTAAAAATAAAAATGAGAATATTATTTAAAAAAACTAACACAGTTGGGTAAGCTTAATTGTGCTGATTGGCGCTATGGTAGAATACCATGTAGGAAGCCAACTTTATGGAAGGGGACTTTGCGGCAAAAGATCTGATAGAGTGATTGGGGAGTAATCTGCATTCTTCTTCTTTTTTTTACTGTATGGTGGAGCAGAGCTCCATTATTTGCCTTGTCACTATGGAGAAAGAAAGATTTTCCTTCATGCATAAATTACATTGGTTGGTTTTAGAGAAAAATGTTTGGCATTTTGTAACCTTGACTTTTAATAAGCTGGATGATGATGATGATGATGATGATGATGATGATGATGATGATGATGATGATGATGA